ATAAATATGAGTCAGTTGCCGAGCGTCTGAATTTTGATCATGTGACCATGAGGGATCCTGCAATAGTCGTAAGTGTGAAAACTGGTAATAAGTCAGTTTTTTTCAGTGCCGTTGTAACTCTGAACTGTCACTAAATGAACTGTTGTAAGTCGAGGACTGCCTGCATTGATAATTGTTTCGTAGTGGAAACGAAGTCATAAATGGATCGAACAGGTTTAGCTACAAAAGGAAAAGACGACGCTGGAAAGACAGCAGTTCCTCACAAGAGTTTCCCAGCTAGGCCAAGGAGTGGTAGCTGACCCACAACCCTGCCAGCCCCCTCCTGCCTTTAGCGGTGGGGTTTTGGGGCAGGAAAAAAGCAATGTCCTGGGTGGGTCTTGGGCTGAAGCCCAATTCTTATGGCCTCTGGTGGAACGAAACTGTGAGAGATAGTGCCCACAGAGGGGTGTGTGTGTGTGTGTTTATGATGGACTAGGGAGCACACTGGGGGGAGGCTGAGACAAGAGGCAGCATAGTCTAGAGCTGAATCAAAGACAAAGGAAGAAAGTTGGGACAGACACTACCTAGAACCTCCCAGGTGCAAGTCTGTAAGGGTGAGAAAAGTAAAGGTTTAGTCTGGCAAGATTCTGCCTGTGGGCTCCTTGGTGCTCTCTGAGCTTGGTTGTTTTCTTGAAGACGTTTCATTGCCCAATTTTGTTTAATAAAACAAAGGAGATCATTGTTGATTTTAGAAAGAGCCGGCATAGTCATACTCTACTTTGTATCAAGGCTGCAGCTGTGGAGGTGGTCAATAGTATTAAATACCTGGGTGGTGCAGATAACTAACAAACTGACTTGGACTCTTCATACATTATCTTTAGTGAAACGTGCAAACCAGCATCTGCATTTCCTGCGTTGGATGAGGAGAGCACGTCTCTCTCCTTCTGTCCTAGCCACTTTTTACAAGGCATGATGGAGAGCATGATGGTTTGGTGATAGCAGAGCCTCAGATAGAAGGTCCATACAGAGAGCGGTAAGGACAGCTGAAAAGATTATAGGAAGCTCGCTTCCCATGATTCAGGATGCTGATTACAAGCACTTAGATGTGCTTAGAGCTTGGAGTATTGTTAGTAACCCCACACACCCACAATCTGTTCACAATCTGTTCTTGTTGCTCCCCTCTGGGAGGAGGTTTCGAAGTATTTATAGCCGAACTACTAGATTCTGCCACAGCTTTGTTCCTTATGCCATCCGTCTTGTAAATTCGCAGGATTCTCTTTTTTTGCCATGTATTCAAACTAGACTGTGATGTTTCTCTGTGTCATATGGGTGTGTGTATTTGGGTATATGCATAATGGTATTTCTTTGAGAGCTGAATGCAACGAAATTTTATTTTAATGTATGCTGATTAGTGTACATTTAAAGTGACAATAAAGTTTCTATTCTATTCTATTCTATTCTATTCTATATTCTATTCTCTATTCTATTCTATTCTATTCTATTCTATATTCTATTCTATACTATTCTATATTATTCTATTCTATATTCTATTCTATATTCTATTCTCTTCTATTCTATTCTATTCTATATTCTATTCTATATTCTATTCCAAAGGTAGGCAACCTTGGCTCTTTTATGACTCGTGGACTTCAACTCCCAGAATTCCTGAGCCAGCCATGCTGAGGGGAAAGGGAGAGGTTTACAAGCTGAGCCATGCTGGCTCAGGAATTCTGGGAGTTGAAGTCCACGACTCATAAAAGAGCCAAGGTTGCCTACCCCTGTTCTATTCTATTCTATTCTATTCTATTCTATTCTATTCACTAGGTAACACCATCAGTGCCTGAAGGGAATGGGGTTTGTGGAATGGAAGAGGAGCACTGTGTGGTCCTTGATGCTTCTGAGATTGGTGGTTTTCTTGCAGACCTTTCATGACCCAACTAGGTCAGTGCTAGAAGGGAATGGGGTTCGCAGGGAGGAGGAGAAAGAGGAGGAGGACGAGGAGGAGGACTGTAGGGTCCTGGTGCTCTCTGAGCTTGATTGCTTTCTTGCAAGGATTGCATTACCCAACTATGTAACATCATCAGTGCTAGAAGGAAGTGGGGTTTGCAGAGAAGAGGAAGAAGAGGACTGTAGGGTCTTGGTGCTCTCTGAGCTTGGTTGTTGTCTTGCAGATGTTTCATTACCAAATTAGGTAACATCATCAGTAGCACTGATATTACCTAGTTTAGTAATAAAATGTCTACAAGACGACCACCAAGCTCAGAGAGCACCGGGGGACCCGTAGAAATATGTGTCCAACGACCTGGAAAGAAAAGAGCTTTATGTGTGAATGGCAACAACAAATAGAAGAGAATTCTGACTGTGCACTCAAGAGCTGTGAGAAAAGGGGGTAAGTTTGCTTGGAAAGATTCTTGAGATCCAAACTCTGATCCATTCTATAAAGCCATGTTCTCCAAGGCTCTGATGGTGCACTTCTATCAGACAAACCTGTAGCTATCACACAATCTCTTACAACACTATGCTGCGTCCTCACAATATTTGGTGATCTGGAACTCAACAGGTTCCACGAACCAGCAATCATGGTCTGTAGGGCATATCATGGCTTCAGCTCTTGAAGTTTATTCCATAAATCTGCTTCAATGACGGATGAATCAAGGCTTTGCATATTGTCTAAAGCAGGGTCAACCTCATGCCTTGGGCAACCACCACAGCCTCAACGTGGCTTTTTCCCAACTGGTACCCTCCCAATTTTGGACTGGCTGTGCATTATGGACATTGTCACCCTATGGCACCTGGAAAACAAGAGCCAGATTCAAAGCAAGGGAAGTTAAATACTGTTGCCAGAAGGAAGATTTTTCAAGGTAACCAAGGTACCACCAAAGGCCATCATTGCACCGTTATTATCCAGAGCTCATGTCTTTCAACCTTGGCAGCTTTAAGATGCGTGGACTTCAATTCCCAGAACTCGTCAGCCAGCAAAGCTGGTTCTGGATAATAGTGCAATGATGGCCTTTGGTGGTACCTTGGTTAAAGTTCACATGTGCAATTGCATCTCATCCTGTTTAAGGATGGAACTGACCTGGTAACTTCAGGATACACCTGGAGAAAGAAGCAGCTCACCACTGGCTTGATGGAGGCTGGGGGGGGGGGCAGGAGCCCCCTCCAGTCCTATTTTTCCACTCTTGTGATTTCTTCACGCTTTGGAGTGCAAGATTTGATTAGGCTGCTCGTAACGGGCGTGTGACTATCAATTACTGCTCACGAAATTACCAGCTGCCACCCGGCGCCACAAATAAAGTGGGTGGAGGGACTTTTAAGGAGGGGAGGGAAAATGGGAGTCTCTCGCTGCCCGGCCCTTTGGCGATCAAATTAGGCTGATCTGCATGGAAGAGTTTAATATTTTGCCCGTCGGCTTACAAAATAAATAATAAATAGCGATCAAATCTGCTCTGCGCTAACTGAACAAGAAATGTACACGGAAATGCACACGTACAGAAGGACGTTCTGGATATGTTTTCGTTTCTTTTTCCCACCCCCTAAAATCTTCTCCCCCAAACAAAAGTGCATCGACACTGTAAATAAATAACATCTCAAAAAAATAAATACATCAAATAAATACATAAATAGAGGGTGGCCCCAACGGTGGGTCTTGATGTCAACCAGGTGGGCTCCGTTGCGCCGCTAGGAACGCCCACGAATTCAGCTCCACAGTGGGACCGCCACGACTTCAGCGGTGGGATGAAGACCAGGCTGTTTTGGGGGGCTGCAGGATCGGGGTGCAGTCTCTCGGGCAGGCTTTTGAGATTGATCCTCGGTGCGGGGGTTGGGGTGCCCCCAGCCCCCTTGGTGCTCCTGAACTACCACAATTAATGCAACCAACAGAGAGAGACAGAGGAAGCGCATTGCCTGCAATTAGTTGCTGGAACAGAAATTAAGTTTACATGAAACCAAATCAGATTTAGTCCTCGTCCAAGCTTCATTCCTTTCTGATTCCCAAGCTGCCTACCGTCTCGTGGAGAAACCTGCAACTTCAAGCAGAGCTCTCCGACCAGCCACTCTTAGACCTCGACTTACAGCCACAATTGCAGCCAAATTTTCCGCTATTAAGCAAGACAGGGAGACAAGTGAGTTGCCCCCGATTTCTTCTTTGCAAAGGCCGTCTAGCAAATCACTGCAGTTGTTAAGTGAATTACGAGGTCATTAAGTCAATCTGGCTTCCCCTGCTGACTTCCTTCATTCGAAGCCTGGTGAGCAGGTCACGCCTACTGCCAAGCACCCAAAGCTTGATCACATGACTGTGGGGAATCCTCTAATGGTCATAAGTGCGAGGACCAGTCATAAATCGCTTATTTCAGTAAGTTCAAACAGTTGCTAGGTGAACGGTTGTAAATTGAGGACTACCTGGACTTGTGTGCAGGAGACCCTCCACCTCTCAGGGCTGGGAAAGCCTCCCCTATCCTCCAAGGCCCCTACAACAGCCCACCTGAACTAGACGAACAAAGGGGTCATCTCAGGCTGAGGCAGGACTAATATCTAGCAGCACTAAGTATGTGTGTGTGTGTTTGTGTTGCGTGGTTGAAAAGACCAAAGCCCCTTGTGGCAACTTAAAAACCAACGTATTGCACATAGAGATTTGTGCTATGATGAGAAGATCTGCAAGAATAAAGCCACATAGGTTGCTTTGACTCCCAAGCCAGCTATTTTCAACAATCCAGTGCTTCTATAACTAAATCCACCGTCTAGGTCAGTGGTTCTCCACCTGTGGGTCGGGACCCCATTTGGGGTCGAACAACCATTTCACAGGGGTCGCCAAACAACGCAGTCCGCCATTTTTTCCCCCCTTTTCCTTAGCTGTGCTACTCCCTTTTATTCTATTGGCTTTTGAAAGCCAATAGAATAGACTCTCTTGAATAGAGTCTAATTCTATTGGCTTTCAAAAGCCAATAGGAATTGTCCAGGCTGTCTCTGCCCGGCTGAGCCCGCCAAAAGTCCCATTCTGCAAACGGTGCTGCACCCGTTGAGTAGACCTCGACTTACGACCGGTTGAGAAGTCCCCGACTTATGACCGGTTGGGGGTCGCGGCATTGAAAAGGTTGAGAACCACTGGTCTAGGGACAGTGTTTCCCAACCCTGCTTACTTGAAGATGGGGGAATTTTCAATTCCCAGAATTCTGGGAATTCAAGGAATTGAAGTCGACCCATCTTCAAGTGAGCAAGGTTGGGAAATGTTGATCTTGGAGATGAAGGAAGCTTCTCTTTAGAATTCCGGACTTTTTTTCCCCCTTGCTAATTTCCACATTATTATGTTCAAGTATTAAAGGGATGCACACAATGAGAGAAGGTCATTTAAACTGCGTTTCAACACACTGGAGATGGAAAGCAATCAGAATTCCAAACGTGTAGGACCCATCGGGAGATGCTTCCCAACCAAGCACCTTGACAATGTGAGGTTCTTGAGTACAGATTTCTGAGACGAAGGGTAACCAAAGTCCTTGTCTCCTTCAAGCTCATGATGGAACTGGAGAATTCTGGGCAGCTTCTTCTCAATTAGAGGGAAGGTGGAGAAGGTCTATGGTTGAGTTAGGATCACTCCAGCACGTATGAGAATCTCCATTTAGTAAGAGCAGGAAGGCAGAAATGACCGAAGAGAGAGCCAGCACCAGATTCTCCTAGATGTTTGTGTGTAGACCAAAAAGCCAGAGAGAACATTCATGATTTATTCTTGAAAACGTGGGTCATACTGGCAGGCGTAGCCCCCACGGCGCCTGAGACTCAGACATCCAGGACGTGGTTCAGATACGAGATGTAGCAGATGGCCAGTCGCAAAATCTCAATTTTGGACAGCTTCTTATCTGGAGGGAGGGTGGGCAAAAGCTTGCGGAGCTCAGCAAAGGCCATGTTGAAGGCCTCAACGCGGATCCTCTCCCGCGTGGCGTGGGCCGTCCGATATTTAGCCGTGGCTCGCCGTCGACGCCGTCGTTCCTCACGGCTGAGATGCTGAAGGTCCTTCTTCATGTGATCGCTGGACTCGGCCCCCCGGGACTGGCCACATAGACTGAGAGAACCAGCATCTTCTACAGGTCCACCCCGGCCTCCCCCACAGTCACTGAAGACCGACTCTGTTTCCGAATGGGTGGGCTGGAGGTCAATCTCGGTCTGGTCTGAATTGAGCATAGTGGCTGAGAAGACCACGGGGCAGCCTGTTTGTGGGGTGAGGAGAGAAGAGAAGGGAAGGGGAGGACTTTGGATAATCCCTGCAGGACGGGCTTCGGGATCCACCTCAAATTTCTACACAATTCGTTCTCATGAAATTATGGAAGGCAACCAGAAATATTTGGATGGTGCAGAAATTCTGGATGGATCTGGGTGCTTTGGCTGTCTGAAAAAATGAGAGAAACAACATGGCAGCAATAATATACATATACTTATTGAAACATATACCTATTGAAAACAATGTCACAGGGTCCCAGTTGGCTCACACAAGTCCCCTTGAGATGAACAGGACTTATTCATATGTAAATAATAGCAATCTCAAATACATCAACAGCTGGGTCCTGCGATCCACCTCTTAAGGAGGAAATAACACCAGCCCTGAGATGGAAACCAGCTAGGTGAGTGTCCCAAATTCCAAACCTGCTGAGATGCTTTGAAATGTTCTTCAGAAGACACACAAGAACAAATGATGGTGACTTATTCTTCCACATCTCTGTCTCTAACACAGTGGTCCTCAGCCTTGGCAACTTTAAATAGTATGGACTTCCAACTCCCAGAATTCTGGAAGCTGAAGTCCATACAGCTTGACGTTGTCACGGTTGAGGAACACTGCTCTATCATTTTGCCCAATCCCAACACTGTCACAATCTGTCCTTAATATCAAGGATGGGGAAGATCTGATTGGACATGGACCTACCTAGAAGCCCTTGATGGAAACAAAACGCACATTCCTGCCCTGCCTGGTTCATGAGAGTCTCCAGATTTTAATGATAACATGAGATAACGGACGGAGGGTAATCAGCCCCCCTAGAGAGAATGGGGAGAAGCTGCAACCCATAAACTGCCAACGGAGGGGACCAAGGTGGACATCCCTGCTCATTGTAAGAAAGTTCAGGTAGCCCTCAACTTACTATCACAGAGGAGCCCTGAGTTTCTGTGACTGAGCCAGACGGTTGTTTGATGATTTTTTTCCCCCTCCATCTTACGACCTTTCTCGCCACAGTTGTTAAGTGGATCGCTGCAGTTAAGTTAGTGAGGTGGTTGTTAAGTGAATCGGGCTTCCCCTTTGACTTTGCTTGTTGGAGGGTTGCAAAAGGGACACTGCAAAAAGACCCCGGGACACGGCAACCGTCGTAAGCACGCGCCAGCTGCCGAGCGAATTTTGATCACGTGACCGGGGGGGCTGCTGCAGTGGTCTTAAGTGTGAAAAAGGGTCATAATTCACTTTTTTTTCAGTGCCATTGTAACTTCAAATGGTCACTAAACGAACTGGTAAGTTGAGGGCTGCCTGCAGGAAGTAAGGACCGTTTCTGACAGCTACTTCGGTTCCTGGGTGGAGCTGTCCAGCGGCTGAGCTCTTAATAGCTCGTTAGCGCCCATCTGTTGCTTGAAACCGAACCCTGCCTAGTGGGCGGAGATGTTGACAAGAGAAGGGCATGTTTGTGCACCGGGTGGAGAAGGGAGAAGGCCGGCTCAGGACGGGGCTGGCAATGGTGGTCAGGGGTCCCCTGGTCTGGGAGACACTCTGCTGGTTTTCTCCACCGTGACAAATCCCCCTCTCCAGGTGTGAGCTTGGGAAGGACCTTGTTCAAAAGTCCAGGTGGTTAGATGGGCCTTGCTCTGTGTCATGTGTGTTTGTGTGTGTGTGTGTATGCATAATGGTTGGTTTTTTTTAGAGCTGAATGCAAAGCAATTGCATCTTAATGTATGCTGATTAGTGTACATTTAAAGTGACAATAAAGATTCTATTCTATTCTATTCTATTCTATTCTATTCTATTCTATTCTATTCTATTCTTGTCCACAGTTCATCTCCCATCTTTTTGCTCCAGGAATTGACTCTTTCTCTCTTTTTTCTCCTTCCCTCCCTCTTTCTCTTTCTCTTTTCTCTCTCTCCCTTTCTCCCTCTTTTCACTGTTTCTTTCTTTTCTCTCCCTCTCTCTTTCTCTTTTTTTCTCTTTGTTTCTTTCTGCCTCTCTCTCTCTTTCTCTTTTCCCTCTTTCTTTCTCTCTTCTCTCTCCTCTCTTTCTCTCTCTCTCTCTCTCCTTTTCTCTCTTTCTTTCCCTCTGTCCCTCGCTCTTTCTTTTTCTCTTTTCTTTCTGTTTCTTTCTTCTTTCTCCTTTCCCCCTCTCTCTTTCTCTCTCTCTCTCTCTCTCATTTTCCATCCCATGCACAATCACAGACAAGCAGAATTTTGGATCCTATCCAACAAAATGCTTTCAAGAAATGTAAAGTTTGACTAAATTTAGGCAGGAAAAAACAAACTCCGGGTACAACTTGGGCAATAACCAGCTTAGCAGTAATACTTTTAAGGAGGATCAGGGTAGACCATCCACCAGGAACATTTGACAGCTGCCAAAATTGGGATTTGGATTGAATCACGGAGGGTATGGACCCACCTGTATGGACACAGGCACCTCAATTACAGTCCAGGCGTGGTTGCCACAATACAAAAAGGACACTGAGGAACTAGGTAGAGTGCAGAAAAAAAAAACAGCAACGATACTAAACCATTTGGAAGCTAAATCCTAGAGAGAGCAGTTAAGAGAACTTAGTATATTCAACCTAAAGAATATGCTGATCTTTGACCATAATAAAAAAAATGATCCACCTTGAGAAGAAAAGTCTAAGAGCAGCTTTCAGTCTTTGAAGGGCTGGCCTAGGGAATGGGGTGGGGGGTGGGGGGGGGTGGCAGAGGATTTATTCTCCACAGCACCCCAAGGACAAGACAAGAGCCATGGGTGGATTAGATGATCTCCAAAGTCCTTTCCCACCTTAAACTTGTAAACTTGTTTGGAACAGCTCAGTTCAATGCATGTCTTGGCTTTCAAGGCAGCGCAGGAAATACACAAGCCACAGATCAAACGGGAGCCAGAACAGAGACTGCAAAACAGGGATGGGGGTTGTTTAGGGCTCCACAACGTGAATTAGAATAATGGCAAGTAGAGTTGTGCTTGACTTCTGTGAAGAGCTGGGAGAACCGCTCATCCTCTGATCTCAAATGTGGGTGCAGGGAAGTTTGCATTTATGGTGGCGTAGATTTGAAGATAGTCCCTTTGGGGCATTACAGAATGGCCAGCATTCATGGACAGAATTAAGCTCCATAAGGCACAAAAGAAGAGCTAAAATGCCAGTTTATAATGTACAAATTTCTCCAAAGGGAGTATCCACAAGTCCCCAAGACTTAGTTTATCATACACAAAGGTCTGAAAATGGTCTTTACTTGTGTGAAAGTTCACCCATAAAAAGAAAGGAAAGGACAGGACAGGACAGGAAAGGAAAGGAAAGGACAGGAAAGGAAAGGAAAGGAAAGGAAAGGAAAGGAGAGGAAAGGAAAGGAGAGGAAAGGAAAGGAGAGGAAAGGAGAGGAAAGGAAAGGAGAGGAAAGGAAAGGAGAGGAAAGGAGAGGGAGGGGAGGGGAGGGGAGGAAATAAATGCTTAGATACTGAATTTCAGATTAATCCCCCAATCCAATTTCCGAGTTTTGAATCCAAACTAAAAATCTAACTACAATTTGCTCTGCTTTGACTGCTTTTCGTTTCTCGGAAGATTCTGGAGAATGGTTATACCAACTTGGCACTCTAACATGATCTGCATTGGGCACCCAAAGGGGCCATCACCCATCTCCTCTACAGAGAAATCCACCCCCCAACTCCTTAAATACATTTATCCAGGGCCCTCCTTGCTGGCAAACCCAGACCTCTCACTCAAAGCGCCCAAGAACCAACGCCCTGCCCAACGGCTGAACAGGATAGGAAGAGCCCAGACTAAACCCCCCAGAATTTAGAGCACCAGCTTCTCCTGAAACCAGGCAAGAGAAGGTGGACTTTTGTATTCTTCCTTCCCTCCAGACTAAGTGAGGTTGGAGGCCACCGATCCTCAAGGGTGAGGAGACGCCTCTAGGGCTACTGAGCTGTCCACCCTCGCCTGGCTGTCCCCCAGCTCAGCACACAAAAAAAGGGGCAGCACCTTGGCAGCACCCAGGCGCAGGGACTCTTGTCTGGCCAGTTGGGGAAAAGCTGATAAATCCTCTGCTTATCTCGTCCGGGCTGCCTCTCCGGTATGAGAGCGAAATGGGTAGGCAGCAGAGAGCCAAGCCCGGGTCGTTTTCCCTTCCTGCACCGGCTGAAGGAAGGGGAACTGGCCATCCGGTTCTTTCCCCCCCCGTTGCCCGGTCTTCCCCCAGAAGGGCCAGCAGAGGCATTGCTTGCTGATTCAGCTGCTCTCCTGGACATTTCTAATCAACCAAATAGCCGCCACTCCTTAAAAACTTCCCTCTTCTTACCTTTTCTGTCCCTCCGTCTGCACACGAGAGTAAACGAGCAGGCCAGGCGCTCGGCGGATCAGCTTTCTCTTAATGGGTGCAGAGCACTTTCGCTAGCAGCCCCAGAGAAAGGGAAAGGAAGGAAAGGAAAGGGGAGGGGTGGAGGGGGGAGGAGGAGGAGGAAAAGGGAGGAAGGAAAAGAAGGAGGGAGGGGAGAAGGGAAGGGAAGGGAAAGAGGGGCAGAAAGGGCAGGGTTCCCCTGGAAAAGGAGAGGAGCTGGCCGCGCACCTACATCCTAACGGAGCCCCCACCTTCCGCTCGATACCTCGCTGAGATCAAAGCAGGGCTGGACAAGCCGGGTGTTTACCCCCCTTCGTTCTGGGCGCCTCAAAGAGAAAAAGCGGGTCGTTTCGGTTCAGAGGAGCAGATTTTTTTTTAATTTTCTTTTTTGCCTGCCTGACAGGTTTTTTTTTCTCCTGGTCCATTTGGTTCTAGGGAACCAGAGCGCGAGGCTTCTCCGACGGTTTCCCTTCGCAAAAGTACGGAGAAGAAAACTTCTTGCCCTGCCTGTTGCGGTGCGCGCCGGCTCTCCGCTGCCCGCCCTGCCTCTGTTTCCCTGCCGGGGAGCCCCTGGCATCCTCCAGGGGTGGAAGGGAGGGAGAGAGGGAGGAAGGAAGGAAGGAAGGGAGGAAGGGAGGAAGAAGAGGAGGAAGGAAGGAAGGGGAGGGAGGAGGGAGGGAAGGAAGGAGGAAGGAAGAAGGAAGGAAGGAAGGAAGGAAGGAAGGGAAGGAAGGAAGGAGGGAGGGAGGAAGGAAGGGGGGGAGGGAGGAAGGAAGGAAGGAAGGAAGGAAGGAAGGAAGGAAGGAAGGAAGGGAGGGAGGGAGGGAGGGTGGGAGGGAGGAAGGAAAGGAAGGAAGGAAGGAAGGAAGGAAGGAAGGAAGGAAGGAAGGGAGGAAGGGTGGGAGGGAGGGAGGGAGAGAGGGAGGAAGGAAGGAAGGAAGGAAGGGAGGGAGGGAGGAAGGAAGGAAGGAAGGAAGGAAGGAAGGAAGGAAGGAAGGAAGGAAGGAAGGAAGGAAGGAAGGAAGGAAGCCAGCCGTACCGCGGTGCTGGCCAGTGGGGAGAAGAGCAATCCCAGCCTTACCTTCCTGCTCGCCGCCGCGCTCCGCTCTCCTCCTCCGAGGTAGATCCGGAGCAGGGCAGAAGCAGCTGCTCCTCACGCCCGGCTCGCCCCTTCTGCAGCGCTGGGCGGCGGGCTGGCACCTTGGCCCCGGGGCCGTCCGGAGGCGGCCTCCATCGCCCCAGCCGCCGCGCCCTCCGGCAGGTGCTCTGCGCGGACACCGGGGGCGCACCTGGAGGCGCGCGCGATTTATAGCCCGCCTGGCCGCGCGCGGGGCCGAGGGGGGGGCGCTTCCCATTGGCCGCCCGGGCCACCCACCCCCCCCCTCGCCGCCCTCGCTCGGGATGCCATTGGCGGGGGAGGGGCCCGGGGCAGGGGCAGGGGGGGGCCGCGGGGAGCCGAGACAGCTGGTCCCCATGCATTTTTCATGCGGGGGGCGCCGCGCCTAGCCTGGCCCGCTCTCGGGGGGGGGCGATGGAGGGGAAGGCAGGTTCCAGCGAGCTTCCCCCCCCCAGCCGCGCGCGCCCCCAGAGAAGCTCCTCCGACCCCCACCCCGCCGCCGCTGCCGCTGCTGCTCCGGGGGGCTCCGTGGCAGGCAGCGCCGCCCCTCCGAGGGGGACCCCCGTGGCTCCCCCCAGGGTGCTTGGACGCCCCTTGGAAGGGAGGGGTTGGGGGGCACCTGAAGCCCCGCTGCATTCAAGGGCGGTCCCTTGCAATCGCTTCTGGGCTGCCCCGCTGACCGACCCAGGAAGGGGTGAAGGGGAAAGAGCGTTGGACTGCGGAGAGCAATTGGGGGGCTTTCCCCCACAATCATCTCGTCCTCCCCCTCCTCCTCTTCATCTCGAGCAACTTGCAAAGAGCACAACACCACAACAAACGTCCCAAAGAGCAGACGTGGCTCCCTTCCAGCCCTTGATCCCATCTGTAGGCTGAAAACGGTTCCGCTTCTCCGTCGACTTGCGCTGAGTTGGCTTTGCCTGTTGCTCTGCCTGTCCCTCCTTGCTTCCATCCATCAAAGGGGGGGGGTATCTTATCTGTCTGTTTATCTACCTACCTCCTTATCTTCCTATTCCACACATTACTTTCGCCTTCAACCGGTTCCCTTCCAGCGCTCAAAACCGGACCGTCCTCACAGCTGAAGCATCTCCCAGCAATTTCAATTCCAATTCCTACTTCTTCTAGTCCAGCACTTTCATTAGATATTTTGCAAACAGAATAAATAAGTGGATCTTGTCTCGCTCTTTCCCTGCCTTGTCACCCGCGAAACAGGCACAATGCAGTAAAAAGAACCAAGAATTCTCGGCCCATCTTAAACCTCCTGTGATGCTGAATTGTTTCTTTAGCTGCTCAAATGTCTTTCATCTGCTGTTTCTCACTGCCCTTGTGACAGCCAGGGGTAGATTTTGTCAACTTTTTAGTCCGCTGAGTTTCCTGCTTTTTTGCAAAAATGTATGTTTAAGCATCTGTATGTCTGTGTATTATTGTGTTAGTTCTGAGCAATAGATTTTAAAAATAAATATCAATGCATTTTTTTAAACAGAAGGATTACAAACCACAGAAACTGAAGAAAGAAGAACGAGAAATCTGGCTGAGAAGAAAGCAGGTTAGCTGCTCAGCAGAAGAAACGGAGGACTAGGATCAAAGCATAATTCCCAGAAGATCCAAGGTGATCCACTGACATTTTCAATTCCCAGGATGTAAACCTGGAAGCTGAATTGCAGCCTAACTGGGTTGCAGAAGGCTGGTGTTGCATCATCCATCTTAATGTATAAAAAAGTCACCAACACCGTTGTGAAAAAAGAATTCCAGCCCCTTCTCTATTTTAAAGAGCAGTCTGAACCCCAAAAATCAGCTGCTACAGTTTGCACTTGTATATTTTTGCTAGAGTTTGTACATCAAGTAAGCAACTAATTTCTCTATTGCTCAGAGACCAAATGGGACTTGTTGGTTCGGTTCACCCAGCACCCAATGAAAGCTAGAAGGCGGAAGGGTCATCGGTTTACACTTCAGAGATAGCTATTTGTCTAGAATGATATAGCGCCTCCTATTTGAGCAGGGGGTTGGACTAGAAGACCTCCGAGGTCCCTTCCAACTCCATAATTCCAAATCAATTCATCAATGGACCGGCTTCTCTCCAAAAGTTGTGGGGGCTCCATCATTGGAAGTTTTCAAGAAGAGACTGGACAGCCATTTGTCCAGAATGGCATAAGATCCACTGCTTGAGCAGGAGGTTAGACTAGAAGACCTCCAAGGTCCCTCTTCCAATCCTGTTATTTTATTCTAACTCTACTGTTGGATTCCCTGTGGGTGAACTAGGCCATAATCTTAAACCAGAGCGCTGCTGATTTGGTGCAGCATTGTGTGTTCTTTGAATGCCGAAACTGCACGGTTAACCTGGATTGTGGGTTTAGCTCATTTCATGAACTCACCAGTATTTCCAGGGTTATCAAATTGGGATCAGAGGTGAATTAGGTATGTAAACTTGCCTTAGCCATGTTTATTTGCTTGTGAAAGCCACAAAACATTTTATTTTGCATAGAATAACTGCAGTGAGATTATTATATGCCTGATGATGGAAAGAATTTGCACGACCCACAATAGAGGGTTGGTGAAGACGATGGCTAAATTGACCTTAGATCAGAGAGAAGCCAAAATCTACATTTATTGCTGATTGGAAACATAGACTTTTAACATGAAGCAGAAAAAATGAACTTACGATTTAATATGATTAGACAGAAATTGAGATCTATGTTGTAACCATATAGCAAGCGGTAAATTTTTAATAGTACTTATAACTGCTATAAAGGAGATCAGAAGCTTTTTCTTTGTACTTTTTTTCTCTTTTCCAATTTTCTTTTCCTTCCGTGCACTCTTAGCCTCCTCTCTGATTTCTTTCTTCTGCTGTGCTTTTCACTTTGCATTAGTTTTTCACCTTCTTTTAAAAACAAATCTTTCATAAAAATTATATCAAAAAAAAAACTGCAGAACTTTCTCCACGATTGCTTTGTTTATTTGTTTACCTCCCAGCCTTATTAATTGCTCTGGAAAACATAGAATGCGTGCACCCTCCTGTGGCATTTTTGTCTTAATAACAGTGTTGCCCAGCTGTGGGTTTTGGATCTGTTTTCTCCTATGCCCGCAGGCTAGCTTGGTTTTAGTTCAATCGCACACATCCAACAAGGAAAACCATCCTGTTTTCTGGATAAGGGTGATGAATTTCTAAAGCTAAGCGCTGCTGCACACTTCTTGGGGTACCACTTCCACACACATTAGTGCAGCTTGCTTTCGAGTAAACCTATTTGAGGCTGTACAGTCCAACCTGCTGGTCTTCCACGAACAGGAGCGATTCCATTTGGAGGAAATCTCTCTATTTGGGGCATTGTGTCTCTCCCTCGGAGGAGGCCCCGTGTGTACCTAATGGTGTGGCAGCCGACCACGTGGCAATTGTGTTCACACCAATGCCATCTGCCTTTAGAGCACAACTCGTGTTTTAGACCTTTGAGCTAAATCTGCTGTCCTACCGGAGAGCGGAGCAGCCGGGCCTGATCCTGCTAGCAATCCCCTGCCTCCGGAGGGAAGAGAAAGAGAAAGGAAGGCGGGGAGGGAGGGAGGGAGGGAGGGAGGGAGGGGGCAGGGATGGCACCAGAGAGGCAACATTTGGCAAGAGACAAGGTGACATATTGTACGTCCCACCAGGGACCTCGGCTGGCCTGGTCTTGTCAGGCAAAGCAGACGGCATTAACCCTCCAAGGACTGGCGGTGCCTCCTCCCTCTTCCAACCCTGAGCCTTACTTGAAATTCAGGAATAGAAGCTGGGAGAGAATTAGATGATTACTATCACCACCACCATCACCATCATCATCTATTTGGGTTCATATTCATAATAATTGGTTTTTATCAGTGATATGGAAGATGACCACCCTCAAATCATTTGTCCAGAAAGTCCTAGAATCTCCTGCCTGAGCGGGGGGGGGGGTGGACTAGAAGACCTCCGTGGTCCCTTCCAATTCTTTTATTCTGTATTCTACTCAATAGAGAGCTGTTGGCTTCACTTTAATTCTAGATTCCGGAGGGCTTAAAAAACTGGATTGCTCTGCAAATATGGAAGTGCAAAGTGGATCTAGCTGCTGGTTTTGGAAAAGCAAGGCATAATAACACGAAATAATAATGGCGAGAGAAGTGACCCCAAAACAGGTCGCCCCAAAGCTCGGTTCAAAGGTAGCCATACATCACTGTCAGGCAGTAGAGTTTGGTGGGACCTGTCAGAGTGTGGCAAGGCCATCTAGCATCTTCATTAATGAGTGGGAGGGGGGGCTCAAGGGGGGAGTAGGTGGAGCTGGAGAATAAGCTGTCAAAACACCCCATTGAGACATAAGAGGTTGCAAGTTGCAGGCTGGATCAAGAGGAAGAGAAGCAGGTTTGCCTGGATGAGTCAGTTGTTGATAGAATAACAGAGTTGGAAGGGACCTTGGAGGTCTTCTAGTCCATCCCCTGCTCAAGCAGGAGACCCTCAACC